CTAAATGAGAGTGATTCTCCTCTACCAACACTCATCAACTGCCAATAGTGCTTCTACCAAAGGTGAAGCCTTAGGGATCCTTCCTCAGTGGTGCTTACATTCTGACTGGTTCAATCTTGTACAGGAAAGCACAGCTGCTAAGAACTGATGAATTCTGCTAACATGATCTGTCCACAAGTAAGCATTCCACAGCACCCTTTCCCATTTTCCAGCTCTTACATTCTTTCCTCTTCCTTGGGTGGGGGAAGATTGATCTGGATGAGCCATTCATAACAATTACAGCTACTTATACTTAGTATAATGATCAATGATGAGCCTCTTTATTAAGCACTGACCCACTGCAAAAAACAAATATCTTGAACCAATCTTGAGAATAGGAGAAAATCTATATGAATTAAATATTTAGATGCTTTATATTAAACACTCAATTAAAAACTTAAACATTAAAAATTAATTAAATGCTTAAATATTTAGAAGTAAGCTTAACGGCATAATTTTTTAGCAAAAACAAATAAATAAGCAGAAAACCACATAGTAGATTAGTCCCTAGTGGTGTAGGAGGTCCTTCTGTATTTGTGTTGCTTTCATTGGTTGAATAAAGAAACTGCCTTGGCCTTTTGATGGGGCAGAACTTAGATAGGTGGGGAAGACAGAACAGAATTCTGGGAAGAAGGGCAATGTGGCAGATGCTATGAAACTCCTGTCTGAGACTGATGCTGGTTAGAATCTTTCCCAGTAATTCACGACCTCGTGGTGTTACACAGATTGGTAAAAATGGGTTAGATCAGGATGTGAGAGCCAAAAAGAGGCTAGATATAATGAGCCAGGCAGTAATTTAATTAATACAATTTCTATGTGATTATTTCAGGGGGTTAAGCTAGCCGGGCGGGGGAATGCAGCCCACTGCTCCTCTTACTATACCATAGGGCTTATGATCTCATCATAAGTCATGGACTTTTGACCAAGTTTACGATACTAGGTAGAAAATCCCCCATATCCAATCAGAAAGTTGTTGGTTGCCCCCGTAACTACCGTGCTAGTATTGTACCTGTGGGCATTTCTTACAAGGTCATTTGACTGATGGAATGTTCCCAGATACATTAAGAAACAAGTTGATTCAGTAAAGATCCTGGGATTGTTCCAGGGCTCTAGAGACTTTGCTGAGGCCCACAGTGATAGGATCTACACAAAATAAGAGAAACACTAACAGATCTCAACACATAGACCACTATGTAAATGATGCTTACAAAATGTAAACTTGTGGGTGTCCCTGCAGGTGTCATAGAGGGAAGAGATGAGAACGAAAACCTGGTGGACACCAACTTCGTCAGCCTGGATCGGACTTTAGGGAGTCTAATGCCAGGTGATTCATTGTCAGTATATTTTAAAATGGAGTAAATTTTCCAGGCAACAGTCAGTCCAATTCCAGGTACACAATAAAGCTACACAGAAACTCTATTACAGAGTACGTGTGACCAGGAGAGTGGGTTCTATAGCTAAAAGATCTAGAATTTACTGATGTCTCTGACTGATAGCGTAGAGGTCATCAGGCCAAAAGGTACTTGTGACAACCCTGTTAATGATGGATAATGGCCTAGGGAAGGAAAAGTCGGCGATAAGCATTCCAGGGAATTTGGGTGAGGTCTGCCTTTATAGCACAGGCAGGTGAGGTCTGCCTTCACAGATAGCAAAAGGTTCACAAAATCCACCCTCCAGCTTTCTGGATGGAATGCAGGCTTTTGATTTCTATTTCCTCCATTGAGGAGACACGCCTGCATGATTAACATTCCTGGTTCTCTTAGTGCTTCTCTGTGAGTACAAGAACCTCTGTGCCCCAACACGAACTAAATCAATAGAGAATGGGAAAAAGAAAAGAAGTAGGTAAGGGGACCTATTCAATAGCAAATATGACAAGATTTGTATTAAAACACGGTTCCTATGGAAGAAATGAATGGAATGGGAAATTCAGTGCTTGTGAGTCTCTGGGAAACATTAAAGCTCTAAACTGCAGTTCATGGAAGATATAAATAATAAAATGGTTCAAGGGAAAGATCAAACTTTTCCCATTTACCGAAGCCCCTGAGTGACTTGTGTACATTTTTCTCCCATAAGAAAGTACAATAGAAATGGAGACTGTTCATCCAGCTCACACAGCTCTGCCTGTCTTCAAACAAGCAATCACACCTTACAAAGGAAGAGAGACTTTGATGCTGTACTTTCCTGAAGCTGTCCAGGCTCTTGTAAGTCACCCCAACAAACTCAGTGGTTCACCAAACTAGACTTAGGTGAAATTATTTCTTTGTTCTGTCATTGGTTCCCTTTTGGGGATAAGTAGACATTTATTCCTACTCTCCCAGGAAATATTCACACTCATGAAAATTAAGTCCATGAAGTATTAAATGAATATGTTAGGTTATACAATGGTAGAGACAAGGCTAGTTCAAAATCCCATTCTTTGAGCTTCAAAATGATAGATATACATTTAAAAAATCTTACTAAGTCTACTGAAAAAAATTATATGTACATTCTCAAAATGTTGTCTTTGTATATTTTTACAATCTTTTATATGTTGATTTCTACCTAGTACTAAGAATGACATTAATATATACAAATCTGTAATAAGGTCAGTATGTATTTAGCTTTGTGTTATATCTGTGAAAGTTTCTTTTCCTTTTCATTCAACTAAAGTGGGATTTATAAGCTCACAATGAATTGAACATATTTAAGGGACACTACTTATAATGCATATGTTCTCTAATATATATCAGTATTATTCCTTATCAGGGAAAGATCAGGGCCTCATAAAAGTGTTGGCAGAAACTTATTATTTATATGTGCCTTTTATATGACACAAGGATGCAATCAGGTAGATACACATGCACACATCAGTGGAATAATGACTGATAACAGTTAAAATACTAAATACAATACATATTAAAAAGTAAAAGATCTTGCATGTCAATTAAAAGTCAGCAAAAAAGGCTAGTACTAAAAATTTTTAAAAAATAAAAGTCACTTATTGTAAGCATATTGGCAATTTATAGAAATGAACAAATAGCCAGGCTGTGGAAGTGCATGCTTTTAATCCAAGCACTTGGAAGGCACAGGCAGGAGAAACTCAGTGAGTTTGAAGGCAGCTTGGTCTACCAAGCATGTTCCATGTCAGCCAGGATGGTTACACAGAGAAACCCTGTCTCAAAAAATTAAAAACCAAACCAAAACAACAACAACAAAAACCCCAAACAAATAATTTCAGAGGTATACTCGGAAAAGACCACAGAGAGGCAGGTGCAAGAACTTGGTAGAAAGAAGCAGACACAGGCTTTATTAGGCCAGTCCTATGCGATGAGGTTTTTTTCTTCCCTACCTTTATACAACTTCCTCTGAGAGTCTAAATTTGGACAAGAACTACTGTTAGTTCATGCATTTACCACTTACACAAGCACCCAAGGGACAGGAAATATTTGATTGCCTCTTATAAAGCTTCAACCCATGGGGAAAAAGTAATTCCCCAAAGGGAATTACTCTAACTAGGAGAAAGGAAATATATCCTGGGACTGATAAAAAATTAATCTTACAGGTGAATGTCTTCAGTAGGTTTTTATAGGGGAAAGATTTCCTTCAGATAAACTTAGAAAGCATTCACTGACATAAGCTTTGAGATTATTGCAGTTATTTATTACAGACACTAATTTTAGAGAGTTATCGGTATACAATGTTAGATATGATTTTGTTATTGCTGTAATATTACTTATAATTACTTCTTTTCTTATTAACCTTGTTATTTAAAAATGACATGAGCAACACAATATAGTTTATTATAAACTACAGTTCCTTTCATTATTTGCATTAGAAAATGCTATGCCTTCTGCTATAGTTAGATAATGTAGTTCTTAGGAAGCAATGCCTGAATAGGGGATATTATCTTGCAGTAAAATATGCCTACCTCAGAACTTTGTTTTACCATGACTGATGGATTTTTGCAATCCCGACAAAGATGTACACTTACGAATGCCATTGTTAAATCATTACATAGCAATTCTCAGACAAATTCACACTAAAAACTCAAGACAAAACAGTAGGTGTTTGGAAAGTATATAGACAGAAATTATAGCCATTTGTTTCAAATATCATACAGCTTTCTGCAATTGCAATTCAGGCATTTGATAAGTATTTGGAACCTATAAGTGATTTTAAAATGGAATAACGCTGTAGTGTTACTGTTTGTCTCTGCCTTTATTCCAGGAAGGAAACATAGAGGTGAAATTTGGAACTCACTGGCAAACATGTGCAATTTATCGTAACAGTTAGTTAGTCCTCTATAAACTTAGTTAAGTTTAGACTTACAGAACTTAGAGAGTTCTTCCAGTCCAGCCTCTATATAGCATTTCTCATGCAACTGTTCAGTGGTTTAGAGTTCAGGTTAATGACTTGGTACTCAAAATTGAGTTGAAACATTTATCTAAAGAAAGTGTGAAAAGAGTTTTTAAAAAATGTTTTATTATAGCAGATGACCCGGGATTAAAGCAGGAGAAAATTTAAAAATCTGAGCTAATTCTTTGATTTTTCTTTACTTTAAAAATACTCAGAGTCTGAGAATTTATAGCAACGGAAGGCTCTATTTCTTTGTGTATTTCTTGTTTGGTTTTAAAAACATAACTTGCCAAGTCTTTAAAAGTCAACTAGTAAAATCCTGCTTCCTAGAGAAGAATGCCACACTTGCCTTCTCAAAGGGCTACTTCATTTTCTTCAATAACAAAACACACTTCACAGGTGGCTTCCTAGGGATGTGATAAAGCCAAAGATTAGAAAAACTGCTTACAAAAGATTCATCTAGTCTATTCTTCAAGGGATGTTTTGTTTACCTTAACACAATCCACTTTAAGCTCCTTTCAAGGCCATACTTTTTTTTTTTTTTTTTTGGTCGGGCTGAATCACTCATACTTTGTCACAAGTGGCTTCTGATTTTAGTTCTGAGTCAGCTTCACAATTACTTGCTGTGCAAATTCTTAGGCTCCCTTCCAGACAGAGTGAATCAGAATTCCTAGAAAATTCACATTGTACATAAGCACCCAATGATTTATTTGAATCCTTGAACCATTCCTTAAGAGAAGAGAATAAAAGGCTTTTGTGGACTGATCTACCTTTAAACACACTAGCATAAAATCTCATTTATCAAAAACTATAACAATCCCACAGCTATCTGAAAGTTACAAAGCATTGCATACACACACACACACACACACACACACACACACACCTCGTACTGTGATACTACATCATATGAGGGAGGTTGACTGCTCAGGGAGCAATAGTATATGTTGAGGAAGTGCTCAGTAGCAAAGAGCCAGTGTCAGAACTCAAGCTGTTATGTGTGGAGGCAAGCTCTGCAAAATGTTACCTTCATCTTATCCCAAGAATGCGAAGAATGCTCCAATTCTACTAACAGTTAAAATCAAGCTTACTCTATAATAGATGACTAATTTTTGAGAGAATTTGGAAATTCTATGTCTAGTGTCCTAATGTAGATTTAACTTCAATGGCCTTCAATCAATACTCTATTTTATGTTTTAAGAATTCAAGACAGAATTTATACTAGGACTCAAGTCTCTGGATTTCTCCTTGTCCCTGCATCTTTTCCCCCTTCCGTTAATTTTACTATAACTTTAAAATATCACCTAAACCCTGGTGTTCACTATATTTTCTAGTTTGATTATTTTTACCTAATGTATAGATTTATATTCAATGCCTATGACAACACTGCTTGTGTTTCAGGCAGACATCTCAGGAGAAATACGTCTGATCCTAAGTTTTCATCTTTCTCCAAATAAGCTCTTACTCTTGCAAATATGCTTCTCATTAACGGAAAAGCTTTCTTTTGAATTGCTCAAGCTAAAAACTTTGAAACTGTTGTAGTTTATTTTTCATCCCAATTGTAATACCTCAAGGGTTCTTAAATCCATCTTCAGAATCCATCTTCAAAATACAGCCAGCATTCACCCCACTTCAAACCATTTCTGTAACTATCAACTAATCCGAAGCACCATATCCTCTCCCAAGAAATATTGGTTGGGATGACCTTCCACCTGGTTTCCCTGATTCCATCCATCCTGCCTCCGTCTACTCCATTCTTCCCCAAACCCAGGGAGTAACCTAAAATGTTAAAATTAACTTTAAAACTAACACTGACTACTAAGCCCAGGGACTAGAGAGGTGATTCAGTGGTTAAAGAGACTTCTAACTCTTTCAGAAGACCCAAGTTCATTTCCTGACACCCACACATCAGCTTACAAACTCCTATTACTCCAGCTTTAGGGGATCCAGGGCCATTTTCTGGGCTCAGCAGGCTCCTGCACACTTGTGGTACACATACACTCAGGTCTACACACAAACATTCAATAAATAAATGTTCTTAAAAATCAAAAATCAATAAAAACTAAGCCCGAAGGTAGAACTCTATGGCTCTAAATTCTCCAATCACTTCAATTCGAGTAGGAATCAAAGATTATGCCAGGATCTGTATAGACCTGATTGTAAGCCTTTGCAATCTACTCTTGTCATTCTGTCCCAAACAAGCTGGCTCTGGACTCTCAAAGGTATCATTAGAGTGCAGATTTAAGATCTTTGCATAGACTTTCTCCAAATATTCTCATATACTCTTTCATTTTCTTCAAATTATTGTTTAAAGGGTCACCTACTAAGAAATTAGCTGTCCAGTCACTGTCTAGTCCCCCAAGAGCTGCTTCCCTGTCCTTCTTGCCTATTTTTTCTCATACATGCCATTACTTTTCACATATTCTACAATTTACCCTTTCGTTTTGCCCATTGCCACAGAATATAAACTCAGTAGAGCAATAATTTTTGTTCTTCTCCTTCCCTTCTTTTATTTGTGTTGCTTTTTTTTTACTATTCTACTGCTCTCTTCCAGTACCTAGAACAAACAAACAAAAAATCTTTTCAATAAACATTTTTCAAATTAATCAGCTAGTGAAAAAAGAAGCACGGTTGTTGCCATATCCCAGTAGATTTGACCATTTGCCGTTTCATCTCTTGTAAAATGTGATTCACAATACTTTTTCAGATCTCTTTCATGATCTGAAATTAAAGACTTGATCATAGATGCACAGACACACAATGGTGCTCGGAGGCATTGTTTTTGTACATTGTTAGAAACTGAACTGCGGTGGCTGTTACAGGCACACTCCCTGTTATCTGTGATAAACGCCGAGTTTTAGTATGAAACTGCTGTGAAGACGGAGCTGAGATCATACTAGCTCATGTCAGCGTGATACAGAGAATTTCTCTGTTAGTTTCATCCTCATGTCTTTTTGCTACTTTGGGCAAGTCAAGCAGTGCTAACCATGTGCATTTAGGATTATGTATTTTGCAAACTGTACTCCTTAAAGGGATGTTAAAATTTAAGATTTCTGTTGAGGTTTATCTTCCAGGGATGATAGTATGACTTGACAATTTTAACAAAAGTATTTAAGGATCTAAGCAATTTACCTAAATCTGGTTTTGTCAGACTTCAAAAGTATGACTTCAAAGAAGTCGCTTAATCTTTATGCCTCAGGTCCTTAGTTATCTTATTTGCCAAGTAGAGATTTACCATTCCTAACTGAATGATTGTGAAGATTTCATAAGGCAAAAGATGTACTTTTCAATTTGCTAATACCCTACACATGTATCATCTTTTTAAAGTATACTTGTGCATTCATTTCATTTTACTTTTTAATTTTTAAAATTTTACATATAAGTTCTCTACTGACATCTTTCCCACCCTCCCTCCCACCTCCAACTTTCCTTATGTCCCCCATCCCTCTTGTTCTATAATTATAATATATACATGCATATGTGCATGTATAACCATTTAGCATTTTTCAGGTGTATATGTGTTTAGGGCTGACCACCGGTAAGGGGTTCATCTCTAAAAAGACCGAATCTTCCTTTATCAGCAGCCATTGATTATCTATAGCTCTTGGGTGACCTTGTAAAATTTCCACCATCCATTTTGGCATGTTGACTGGTGCAATTATACAGGTATTGTTAGGTTATCATATTGTTGATTTTTCATAATTTCAGCATCCCTGTTATGTCTAAAAGAAACTATCTCTTACAGGCATCATGATTATTTGGTTCTTATAATCTTTATGCTTCTTCTTCCTTGATGATGTTTGATGCTTAGATGTAGAGGGTGGATTTTAGATATATCAATGAGGGCGAGGCATCCCTGGATCATTTCTTCTCTGAATTTTCTCTTATTATGAATCTCTGTAGTAGGCTCCATTTGCAGCAAAAAAAAAGTTTATTTGTTGAGAAGAGCTACAAGTATCTGTATGTATAAAGATAAGTACTTAAATTATTAGAAATGTATTTGGTTAAAAAATCATAATAGTAGGCTCTCCCTTCATGGCTATGACCTCTTTAATCATGGCTACTGAAGTTTACAAGACCAGGCAATGGTTCCCTTTCAATGAAGAGTCTTAGATCCAATGCCAATATTGTCCTATTTGGAACGTATATAAGGGCTAGTAATTGCTATAGTTCACTGGCTTTACAGATGGTTTGGTTATTGGTCAATTTTCTCCCTTGACATATTTCACAGCACCTTTTGATATAACAAGAGCTATCCCTTAGGGAGGAGGCTTTCAGATCAGTACCAACTCCATTCCTCCTAGTATTGTAGTGTCCTCAGCAAAAAGCAAACAAACAAAGGAAAAGGCAGAACCTTCAAGTTCTTGGAGGCATTGAAGGGCAATGGCAATGGCTTATTTATATGTTGGGGTACTCTTGGCCCTACCTAAGAACCCAAAGAGAAATTTCCCTTGCCTGTCACTGCCGTTTTGTGAGACATAGATAGCTATAGGGAGAGCATTATCTCTTCATGAGGTATAACTCTATTTAAACTATATATTACATATATTATGTATGCATTTTAAAGTAATCTTAGAAAATAATGCTTGTTTTTCATCCATCTTTAGTAATATGTCCTTCTCTTCCCTTCCTTTCCCATAGAATTATCCTCTCTCTCCCTTCTCCAGTTAAGTTCTTTCACCATTTTGCCCTCTCCCACTTCATTGCACCTAGGTCTTGCCATCCTTTCAGCAGAGTTTTTTTCTTCCCATTCCCCGTGGTCCTTTCTATTTTCCATGTATCCCAGTTATTACTAGTTGGATACTCATATGCAAAAATTAATCCTTTGATGTAAGATTGCCCTCTGCATGATATGAATATGCTTTATTACCATTGGTTAATAAAAAAAGCTGTTTCAGCTGATGGCAGGGCAGAACATAGGCAAGTGGGAAAACTAAACTGAATGCAGGGAGAAAGAAGGCAGAGTCAGGCAGACACCATGTAGCCGCCCAAGAAACAAGAGGTAACAAACCATGACCCTCATGATAAAATATAAAATAATAGAAGTGGGTTAATTTAAAATGTAAGAGTTAGTTAATAAGAAGCCTGAGCTAATAGGTCAAAGAATATGTAATTAATATTAAGCCTCAGAATGATTATTTCAGAAGTGGCTATAGGAGCTAGTCAGTGGGACTGGTGCGCGGAGAGAAACTGGTCCTGGGGACCCAGCAAAATGGAGAATATTTGTAGCTACAATCCTTTTAAGTCATTAATTAATAATGTGTTAGATGCAGAAAGTGACAACAAATTAAATGTTATCTTTGTAAATTAGTTTACCTAACGAGACATGACATCAAATAAGGAAACACTCAAGGAAAAAGGCTGTTGACAGAATAGAAAAGTCCAGGCCTACCCCATCTGGTGTTGAATCCAATTGCTCTCATCAATTTCCAGTAGGCATTTATGGTTCATCACGGGGACATTCTGAGTGGATGGAGCAGAGAATTTCCTTCAGGAATTTGAAGTTACCAAAGACAAATCCACTGTAAACTTAGGAACTGGGAGTTTTACAAGATATCCAGTTCACCTTTTCAGGCCTAGCATTTGTGGCATGTGGGGAGTGAGTTGTAACGAGTGCACAGGAAATGTTCTCAGTATGATACTTGGTCCTAGCAAGTACTGGGATAGATTACAATTAAGACACTTTTTCTCCTTTGGCTCCATTCACATTGACAACATTCATATTTTCTTTTTCCACAACTTAGGGCTCAGGAATCACTGCTGATCAAATAAAACACACATTCACTTTGTTAGTAAATTAGTCGGGGCAGCTGTACAGAGATTCTAACAAACAGGAGAATGGATCATTTTTCTAAGCTAGTAAATCTAATGGCTTTATGGTATTCCAAGAAGGGAAGCCACAGATGTTCATTAATGGGTGGAAGGAAAGATATAAGAAGATTACTATTGAAAAACCATGTTGGATTAAATTTACATTCCTACAATAGGTATACATACGCAAGTAAGTGTATATAAAAATAGGTACACACATTAGTTAATGAAAGGCAGGAAGCCTAATGAAAGTCATAGAACTCAGATTTGGGACCTGATCAACACGGATAATGATATAGATACTATGTCTTACTCTGTCCATGTGGCACAGACACAGAAATGAAGCAAATTCATACTCTATATAATGTCCAGTCTCATTTAGTCAAGGGCTCATCAATGCATCCTACAAAGGAATCATAATTTGTATTTGAAATGCAGGCCTGTTCTTGGAAGGTAAGCATAATTTGTCTTTGAAACACAAGTCTATTCTTGGAAGGTAAGTATCTTATGAATACAGTAATAGTTTAAAGAAAGAAAAAGCAAAGTGGTTATAAGGTTATGTAAGCCCAGAGAGATTCTTTAGCAGAAATGAGGAATGACCTCTGCTAAATTATCCATTAGATCTCCTTCAACCTTACATTCAGCAGATCACTCTCATCTATGCCCCTGTTTCTGACCCTGCCAATGACTGAAAGATGTTTAACTCATATATGAAGGATTTTCTTTTACATGATATAGTTAGGATGCATAATAACCAGGCCCTACACTGTTCTTGTAACTGTAAAATTATTGTTCGGGAATTCTATACAAGGTTTTCCAAAATGACAATTTTCCAACAATAATTCACAGTTATATGCTTAATTATCTTGCACTTGTTAGTACACTCAAATTTTAATGTCTCATAATGTACTTTAGGGTGATACTGTGTCTCAGTGTCTCAGTTATTTAATAGATTCCTGGTACATGCAATAGCATTTTTGCTCCCAAACTATTCGGTGTAAAACAGCTTTCAGTAGCCCTAAGCTACTTTTTTTTTTATTGAACTACTCATCAAGAGCACCTATAAATGGTTTTCTAGAACAAACAAATGCTTTAAAAATATCTGCCTGTATATATATTTATTTATGTTTTGTATTTCTTCCAACATTAATTCTCTCTCTCTCTCTCTCTCTCTCTCTCTCTCTCTCTCTCTCTTGTGCTTTCCTTTGAGATTTTTCTCCAAATTTTAAGTTACCCGTTTCCTTAACAATTTTTCCCCTTAATGTTTATTTTAAGGCTGGGCTCAGCAAGCCCTCCAAAACTGTCTTTTCTCCAGCTTTAATGGACATAAATATGGCAAAATGACTGATATTTTATTTAGGTTCTTTAAACAACATGGTTTTGCATCCCAAATACCTCAACTTATGTCTTAATTTTCTCTATTAGTATTCTACATAAGGTTGTTTGTAAAATAAATAGGAGTAGCTTAAGAATTAGTAACGTTGCCCCCCTGGCACTAAGAGAAAGTTAATATTTCACTTTGATTCGTTCTTCTTTCTTGTTGACAAACTATGCGCCAGTACCGGTGATGTTGTTGAGTAAAAGTACTTTGGGGCAAAAATATTTTTAAATATTTAGTGCTCCACAGTAATTAAAGCCACGTACTTTCAATACTTATGGTGCAATATAGCAAAAACAGTTAACTCAGATTTTTCTTTGTAGCTCTGCTGTTAAGCACACACAAAAATACTTGTCATTAACAAAGATTTGCATTCCAGTATTAGAGAAGCACATGTGCATGCAGCTCGACTCTTCAGACTGGAGTAATTAGCTAGCATTGCAGCTGGACTCAAGGGATGTGGAGCAGTCAGGAGCAGCTGCAAATCTTCCAAGAAATACAGAGCCATATGTCTCTGGGACTGGGCTGGAGGCTGCAGCTTGAGATAAGAATGTGAGAAGGGAATGCGTATATTTTTAAAGCTAACTGCTAACATGAATAAAGCTGGACCTCATTCTTCCCAAGCTGTTTAGGGTAGAGCTTGACATAGTAGAAAATTGGTTGCTAAACTTTAGAAGTTGCTTTCTAGTGACTAAGGGACATAATATCCAGAAACTTGGAACTGTCATATTAACTGTTCAAATTTACTAGAACTTCCATTATTTGTATGGTTACACAGTAAAACTCTCATGAGTTTCTGGCAAAAGAGAAAAAAAAAAGGCCAGAGTGAGAATAAAACCAACAAGAGTTAGAACACGGTGGAGGAGGGGGATGAGCTGAGGACATTCCATGGTGAACAGCCGGATTTCCCCCAGGACGTTCAAATTGAAGCAAGAAATCACGTGTAAATAAGAAAAACAATAAATTAACCAATTAGATCCATTTTTCGTTTGTAGGAAGAATGTGTTATTTTTATAAAAACATAACTGTTCACACTAAAGCAATTTAAACTAAGGGGGTTTCCAAAATAAACTAATAAAAGTTTATTCAACATTAGAAGAGAAGAGACTATGTCCAGGTCACTTGAGGAGTATTATAGCTATCAATGGGGGCCAATCAGCAAGCTTTTTCTAAGTTTTTTTTTCTTTTCTATCTTTAGGATTCCAAGAGAGAAAGGATAAAGGGTTGTGGAGAAATAGCCATCTGCCATCATTTGGCTTTAATTAAAAGGACAAAAGCAAGACCACTTTAAGAACAGTATTGAGCCGGGAGGTGGTGGCGCACACCTTTAATCCCAGCACTCGGGAGGCAGAGGCAGGCGGATCTCTGGGAGTTCGAGGCCAGCCTGGTCTACAAGAGCTAGTTCCGGGATGGGCACCAAAGCTACAGAGAAACCCTGTCTCGAAAAACAAAACAAAAAAAAAGAACAGTATTGACAGAAGTACTCAATGCCTCACACAATGCTTACAAGCAGTTTAATGGACAAAGATGTTTTTCCCGTAGTCCAGGAAGCAGGAATACCAATGACCCTACTCCAGGTTCTTATGAAGAATAATAGAAAGATAGGGGAAATCTTAGGGGTCTGAAAAGGGAGAGGAAAACCCTCAACCAGGAATCTTGCTGAAGACTGTAGGATAAAGAAGAAAGAATTTAGTTTAATTAACAATTGTTTAAGGACTTTGTTCCCTTTCCAGTTTAAACCTGCAGTTTTCTAAGAATCTCAGCAGAAACACCTTGCCTCTTTCACAACTTTAATTGTCTCTGGTTTTACTTTATCAAAGTATAACTCCACCCAAGGCATTGCCAGAGCCACAGAGAGATCATAATATCAATAATCAAAAGAAGGTGAAAAGAGGGGGTGTTTTATAACCTTGTGAGATATAACTTGAGAGCCACCAAAGTGGTATATATGGCTAGTACTAAAATGAGTAATTTTGACAGATCTGAGGAGACTCTGTCCACATGTGTTCACTTACTTTCCGTTACTTTGTCTCAGAAAAATCCACATCCATGATCGCAGTACATACTGTGTTCTCCTTAATCTCTATTTTTCCTCTTAGCTCTCATACTTAAGTCTGTATTAAAGTACCCTTAATAAAATCCTCAACTCTGCTTCAATGGGCGAATGTAGCATGATTACATGATTCAGAGGCAAATATTGGGATTTAACCTCAAGGGCAAAAAAGCATAACTGTCAGCCACTGACTCTTACCTCTACCTCAGTCTGAAATGACAATCCTGCCTCCAGGAATCTCAGAAGGAGACTGTATGTGAAAGCTATCTTCTCCTCCCTTATATTCCTCTTTAGGGCTGGGATTAAAGGTGTACACCACTACCACCTGGTTTCTATGGCAAACTAGTGTGGCTACTGGCATTAAAGGCGTGTGTCACCACTGCCTGGTCTATAAGGTTGATCAGTGGGGTTGTTTTACTCTCTGATCTTCAAACAAGATTTATTTATTAAATTACAAATGAAGTATCACTACAGGGATTGGCTTGCAGTTCTTTTCTATGCTAACATCATGGTTCTGCTTTGTTCTGAGTCCTTGTCCCTATATGATTAGGTGAATTCCTCAGCCTGCTGAAAGGGACATTATGGAGCTGTGCAGTCCCCTCACTGCCTACACCTGCACATGCCATAATCAAGTCCTCAAGATGAATATTTTCCTCCTTACAAAGGACAAGCTACTGGAAGTCTGAACCACAAATGCCTCTCTGTGGTTTTTTTGTTTTGTTTTGTTTTGTTTTTTTGTATATTATAGAAAACAAATTTCTGATCACAAATGAAGAAAAGGCATCGCCACGCCAGCATGGCAATTGTAGTTCTTCTGAGCAAGGGACATCAGGATTAACACACAACACAACTTCAGGTTCTGCAGACAAGCCTTTATTCCACTTTCTCACACAGTATATATAGCCCTCAGCAGGGGAGGCTGAGCCAGCAAAAACAAGAAGCTCATCACCATAGGGGTAAGCATCTTTAGAAACATTGCTGAAAACAACAGATTGTTTTGTTCTTCTTTTTGCTCTTGTTTTTGGAACAACCAAGCACAAGAGTGCAGAACAGATCAAGTGGGGGTGCTAAGGCCTGTCCTCTAGGGACCCAACAAGGCATAACAGAAAGGAAAATATTCTCTTCTTCTTTTTAATTTTTTCTTTCTCCTCCTCCACCTTTATTCATCTTCCTCCTCCTTTTTTTTCTGATTTTTTTTTTAAGTTGAGACAAGGTCTCATGTACCCCAGGCTAGCTGTGGACCCTAGTTCTCCACTTCTTAAGTGCTTGGATTATAGGTATGAATGATTAAAGCAAGCTTGAAAACTAATTCTCACAGGCTAAAGAAGATCCAAACTTGTGGTTAGAAACATCTACCGGGAACTGGAAGGGAACTATAAAAGTGATATAAGATGCCAGTCAGTCATGACAATTTTGATACTAGCCCTCAGAATCTATTAAATCAAAGTATTGAGATGTCAGCATCATAGTTTTTGATCAACTGGGTCAAACGCTGGTTCAAAAACATTTTTAAAATGTAGCCTCTGAATTGGACCTTGTGGAAAGAAAAACCTTCTGAAGGTCTAGGGAGTGCAAAGTGCCCCAGGTATGGAGACAACAAATTCTTTTTTAGCTCAGGAAGATATTTGAGGTTTAATGAAAAAGTCACATTCTAGAGATGAAGAGACAAGTTATTTAAATGGAAAACACAATTTCATAGAGCAACTGAGTAATAATTTCAAGGGGATTTATGAATATCTTAATTCCCATCACACTTGAAACTTTTAGGATAAACTAGAGACTCAGTACTATCATAGCCTGTTTGTTATTCCTTGAACCAAATATCACAGAATAGGGGTAGCTATAATATCTAAGGATTTCTTTGTACAGTTCTAAAAACTAATAATTTCAAATACAAAGACCCAACTTACTCTGGTGATGGAATTTCTGCGGCATCATGACCAGGCTAAACACTCCACTCCATACAGTGTGACAGAGTATTACAGGTCAGGTCTCGCTCTTGTCTTATAAAGTCACTAGTCTAATAATGGGATGAACTTATCTCAATCTAATTATCTTCGAAGGATTCACTGCCAAATACCATAAATACACGACTTTAGAGATTAAGCTTATAACAAATGAAATTTGAGGGACATGGTCAAATAATAATAAATATATTATTTTGGTGTATTTTCATTAAAACAATGAAAAAAATGCATGGGTATTTACTTCAAGGGGAAAAAAAAGCATTATACCAGTTAGGCAGTCCAACACCTGAAACATGCTATATCATAGCAAATTGCATTAGTAATAAAAAGAAGCTAATATCATACTGTAAAGAACAAGATTATATCAGGAAATTAAGCAACTAGCTCAAGCAGGAAGCCCATTGTCTCAAAGTTAAAATATGTAGCAGCTCAAGGGCAATGACTGGAAGAGAATGGCATCATGAATCTTTATGACACTGATTACAACTATCTACCCAATAAGTTTCCTGCTAGATCCTCAAAAGTCCACAGGAAGGTTGGTATAAGCCAAATGGAACTAGAAATACAGCCCAATGAAATGCACCTGAGGAATATTTCAGTACAGAAAAGAGAGATCATGCCTTATATAGATAAGTATGTCAGAAAACAGACTTACATGATCTAAGAGCTTGGCATACAATGCCAATTATAAGTCAAGAAAATCAATTCTATATTCTATATGTAATGATAATAAAACTAATTATTCCCTTACCTTTTCAGGTTCTATTAGAGACCTATAGTAAGCCTTGTCCAGCATAAGAAGGACAGGAGTATGGATTTTGGGAAGACAAAGTAGAAAATGAGTTCTCTAAGGACAACAAGAGCATGTGTGTACCTACATAAAGAGGAAGAGCATTTGAAATCTGTAACATAGATCAAAGAGCTCAATGAACTTTTCTAAGCTTATACCAACCTTCCTGACAATTATTACCTGTTATTGGAGACTGCTCATTTATTTCCAGGCCGCTATAACTCCCAAAATAATCACACAGAAACTGTATTAATTAAATCATTGTTTCGATTATTGGTGCTAGCTTCTTATTGGCTATCTCTTACACCATAAATTAACCCATTTCTATTTTATGTTTTACCATGAAGCACATGGCCTCTTGGCAAAGCTCTGGCTGGTGGCTCACATCTTTCTCCTCTGGCGGCCACATGGCATCTCCCTGCCTCTGCCTACTCTCTCCTCCTCTATCTCCTAAGAACTCCCACCTTTCTTTATTCCGCTAAGCCACTGGCTGAAACAGCTTTATTCATTAACCAATAAAAGCAACACATAGACAGAAGGACTTCCCACACCACCTGGCCATGTCTTGGACTTTTTGAAACATTAAAGCCTCCTCCCGGTGACACTTCCTCCAACAAGGCCACACCTCCTAATCCTTCTAGTTATCAAACAATTGCACTCCTTCGTGACTAAACAGTCAAATATATGACCCTATGGGGGCCATTCTTACTGAATCACCACAACTTGCTAAACAAAACAGGATGACTTAAAGAAACATCTGAAACAAAGGGACATTGCCTGGGACAACCTGCTAGTGGCCGCTCACACTTCTCTAAGATCGTGCCTGCTTTCCTGCCTTACCTTGTGGTTTTAGAGTATGAGAATACAAATTGAGCCTGGGGTTGAAGCCTTTCAGGAGCTATCCTGGATTCAGGCTACCAGTGACATCTCCTTTCTTCTATTCTCTTTGTTATCAGAGTGTTCATTTCAAAAAGATCTCACAACACTTGGGTACACTTTATTATTTTATGATATTAAACATTTGACTCTTCACAATAACAGCATGGGCAAAGATACTTACAAGTTAAATTTCTGACTCCACTGGTAGGTTTGTGTATCATCCTTATTTTTGAACAAGGTAATTTAGTCTTTAAAGTTTTTTTAGGAAATGTAGATATCTTGAAATCAATGTCTTAAAATAAAAATTTCAAAAGTGCTGGTGATAATATTTTAACAGCACATTCCTATAATTTCCATATGATTTGTTACATTAAAATCTCATTTGGCTGGAAAATAGCTCAAAGGCATAGCAAATATTTGCCTAGTATAATTATGACCTAGTTTCAATCCCCACAATCACAAAAATAACAAAAGAAAAACAGTAGCTTATTTTTATTTTTAAAAGAGATAAAAACTTTAAACATCTCTAGATTAAATATCCTTGGAGCTGATATCCATATTTCTTTATTTATGCAAACATTCATCATAGTTAATTTCCATCAACAACCTGATTAAAGAATTACTCAATGATGTATACCTTGGGTGTGTCTATGAGAGATGCAAATGAGAAGAGAAGAGGTACTCCATATGTGGATGGCACTATTCTATATGCTGTAGAGTCATAGATTGAATAAAAAGAAAGAAAAAGCCAGTTGAGTGCCTTACATGTTCACTCTCTGCTTCTTGATTTGCCTAGATGTGAGCAAATTCCTCCATCCACAGCTGTGAGCTGCTCCTGCCACTTTCTCATGAATTGTGCCTCCCTAAACACAATGAACAGTGTCTGTCAAAAATGAGCCCATATAAAGTTTTTACCCCTCAGTTGCTTCTTGCAGGCTGAGGAGACAATTTACCTTGCAGTGACAAAGACATGAAATTGAAGCCCAGAACTCATAGTCATCAAGTGTAGTGGTCTATACTGGTAATCTCAGAGCTGAGATAGATGACTTGCTCACCAGCTGAGTCTACTAGGAAAGTTACAGGCCAATAAGAAACCTTGATGCTTTCACAAAAAATGGGTAGCATATAAGGGTGCTGAGGTTATCCCCTGATATTTGTATGCACACAATTATGTATACTCACATTTGTACATACATACATAATACATATATACATAAGTGTGTGTATGTATAAATATACACACACAAGACAAAAATTCTTATAAGAAATTTAGTAACAATAACAAAAATAATTAATTTATTATTTTGCTGCTTTTTTCCTATAAGAAAATACAGAGTATTACCAATATTAAAATAATAAGAATTCCCTGGGTGATGGTAGCACTCTGGAGGCAAAGGCAGGCAGATCTTTGTGAATTCGAAGCAAGTCTGGTCTACAGGAAGTCATTTCAGGACAGGCTCCAAACTACAGAGAAATTCTGTCTTGAAAAACCACAACCAAAAAAACATAAGAATCTACCACGTTCTAATGTTTTTCTTTTCTATTGAATTGTCTTGTCATATATCCCACACAAGTTTTGAACTTGAGATATTTTGATTTATCATCCTGAGTTTGAAAATTATAGGTGTATACCTCATCTTAGGAGCTCAGTAATTCATATTTAGATTTTTAGGTTAGTTAAAACATGTTATAGATTTGATGATATGGGTTATATATAAGAAACAAAACCAAATCTTACTAGTTTAACACACAAAACATTGATGTTTGATACTCTAGGCCTGTTGTGGGTGAAAGTTAGTCTTCAGGCAAATACTGTTCATTTAGAGAATCAACAAATCTAGCCTGCATGTTTCTATCATCTTCTAACAGTGTATAGAACATAAATGTATTACTTTTTTCAAAAATACTGATTAAGAAGATACTATAGAAGTAGATAAGATGTGATTACGATTCTTATCTTTTATCATCAGCTACAAGGATTTGCATAATTGTATCTTTTTTTTTTTAGAAAACAAAATAAAACGAAAACTGTAACATCAAGGCTACACAAGGCAATCCAACAGAGGAAAAAAGCCCAAGATCAAGCACAAGAATCAGATGCCCACTCATTTACATACTCAGCAGTCCCATAAAAATACTATGCTATGCTAGCTTATGAGTCAACTGGAAAGTTTATTTCTGGAAGAAACCCACCAGCAGCACACAGGCTCCCCTGTCCTCCTACTTGTGGGGATTTCTCCATGTTACAACCATTTCATCCTGTCTTTTCTGCATTGTAGAAATTTGGCTCAATGAGAAGTTCGTAAATTCAATGAGGTTAGCACTTTTAGGTACCAATTGTCCTGAGTAACGCACACCAACAGAGCACGGAAGTACGAAATGTATTCACATCTTACTTGCTTCTGAAGACTGACATTGGAAAGATCCATTTCCAGTCATATACGTGCTTTAAAGAGTGTACCTGCCACAGGACAAAGAATCAAAATGAGTGTTTTGTCTCCTGTCCTGTTTTGTAAATATCTCTTTGTTTTCCAAATTGGCTTAAAGCATTAAGTAAATATTTAGGAATATAGTCATGTTTTCTTCCAAAGTAAGTGTATATCTTTTGTCTGTCCTAGATCAAACAAATAAATAAAGAAAAATAAAAATCAAACGGAAAATAAAAGACATTTGGAAATGAAGTACAATAAGACTTTATGTAAACATGCAGGGTTTTTTTAGTGATAAGTGGCTAGAATGAAAAGAAATACTATATGTGCATATGTATATGTGTGTACATATGTACACTTGCATATACTATATGTGCATGTGTATATGTGTGTACATATGTACACTTGCATATACTATATGCGCATATGTATATGTGTGTACATATGTACACTTGCATATACTATATGCACATATGTATATGTGTGTACATATGTACACTTGCATATACTATATATATACTTTTTAAGAAGCTGGGAGTGGTAAAATAGAATGTTTACTACATTTTGAAGCCAGAATGGACTATTGAGTGATATTGTCTCAAAAAGGGGGGGAGGATTATACAGAGAAAATAACTTTCTAGAAACTATGAGATTTTTATTGTATCTATTTTCACATAGTAAACCCCAAAGTCAAAATAGAGGCAATGTTTTTGAATTCTTCACAATGAAAATTACCAATATGGTAATTAATTACCATATTTCACAATGAAAATGAAATAACTTAATCCCTTTCCAGTTTGAATTATAGACTACATCAGAAAAGAATTTCAAAAAGGTTATTATATACCGCCATTCCCCTTTAAAGCTTCATACCATTTCATTCTATTTTCTTTTCCTAGAATCCCTTCCCCTATGGTCCCTTAGTAATTCCCTGGCTTTTGTAGGTATTGCAAATGGAGCACACATATCTGAAGATTCAAGCCTAACATCCACAAATGAGAAAAGACAATGGGAGGGAAGTATGGATGAGGGACTATAGGCAGGCATGGCTAACACTAAAGATATTTTGAAAAATATCTTCATGTGGAAACCTACTGTTGAAGTTTCTTAAAATTATACAGATATACTTATAAAAATAGTTTAAATGGAGTTTTCCTATAACAGGGCAACAACACCTTCTCTGTGGGGTCCCTTTTTTCCTTATGGTCCATTGGCCACCAGCCCACGAAGACAAAGTGGTACAGGTAGTTTTGAATGATCCTGTGAACATGAATAGCCTTCCAGGAGACATCCTCAGTGAGGCAGCTCAGCTTTATTCCAGATTATAGGGGATATATGGAATTGGAGATGATAGTTGGGAAATCACCTAGTTGGCATTAAGTGGTATGCTCCTGTCATATAGCTTGGTTAGTAGCAGCATGGCCCTATCAAAATAGCTAGAGCATCTTACCTAATTACCATATTGGCAGCAGAGGAAGGGCGCTTGTAGGGAACTGTGTCAAGGTTGGTTAGAGAACAGGAAGCCCTCTGCCAGAGGAAAGCACTCCTCCATGTTGCCAAGCTCAGAGGGAGCTGTCAAGCCATGGTAGATTGCACCCTCTGACCACAGGGCCTCCCAACACTTTCAGATACTAGAACCTAGCAAATAATAAACTCAGTAACAGAAGCATGCCACTTCTTTTGGAGTTGTTGGCAAGTGATTTCCCATAGACTATCAAATATTAACAATTATTGCCAATGTTCTTGGTTATTCCCAAGAACTTGACAGTAAGGCCCTATTGCTGAAGGCATCACATACTTGAGTCACAGAAAATAAAGTCAGAGAAATCAAGTCTGTACTCACCTTGAAGATTCATCCCTAGTTGTTAGCTTTCATAGTACCAGAATGTGTTATGCTTGCTACCTAAGGAGAAAAAACAATTATCAGTCTTATCCATAGATCTTAGGGGGAAACCTACTACTATTACTATGGTAGCTGGACACCATACTAAACAAATATTATATGCATAGATACAGGAATTTGTCAATTTCATTAGAGAAACTCCCCTTTGCTGTAGATGATACAGATGGAACTGATCAAAGTGCAGAGGAGAAAAGACTATGAACTACTTAGTTCTAAATGGAATATCTGTATCACACTCCTTTTTCTCAAGGCTTGGTGATCACTGCAAAAGAGGAGCAGAAGGATTCTAAGAGCCATAGGCAGTGGATGACTAAGGAAATGATGTTTTACGGGCATAGTAGAGTGTATGTGGAGACTGCTCATTCATTTCCTTGCCACCCAGACCTGATTAATAACACAGAAACTATATTAATTACAACACTATTTGTCCAATAGCATAGGTATATTTCTAGCTACCTCTTATATCTTAAATTAAACCATTTCTCTTAATCTGTGTATTTCCACAAGGCTGTGGCCCACTGCAAGGTGCTGGCTGGCAGCTGGCGTCCTTCACATTCGAGCAGCTACATGGCATCTCTCTGACTCCACCTACTTTCTCTCTATATCTCTGTTCATATTTCCTGCCTGGCTTTATTCTACAAAGCCATTGGCTGAAACAGTTTCTTTAATAACCAATGGTAATAAAACATATTCATAGCATACAGAGAAGAAACCCACATCATATTTCTTTTTCCATATAAATAAAAAGAAAGGTTTTAACTTTAAATAGAAAAATTACATACAACAAAAGCAGTATCAAGTAAGAATTACAGTTACAATATTTATATTTATTTTATCTTTTATCATAACTAAGGAAAACTATAATCATAACTATTTATTATTCAACTCTGTCAAAGACCCCAGAAGGATATAAAATTATGTAAGTTAACACAAAGTATATTGTAAGCAACATTTAAAACTCTAGAATTGACAGAGACATCTCACTGTCTGGATAGTCACCCAAAGTTCTTTTGTAAGATTGGGGCATTCATCTTCAGCCTACAGGCCCATAGTACTCAGTAGACTTTTCCATGGTGCAGGAAATTTGAAAGACTATTTTACCTTTATTGTCAGTTTGTCAGTCACTTTCTTCTGTAATCTGAAAAAAATGTCTGGTAGACTCTTTCATGAAACAGGAATCCTGAAAGACTGTCTCACCTTTAGACAAGTTCAGTAGTCATTTTTCTGTGGGTACTACATGTCCAGTTCATACACCATATCATCAAGCAGTCCAGACCAGAGCAGTTTCTTGCCCAAATGGTTAACCAACTCTATAAGGAGCCTCTTTGATGCCTATCATCCTGTTGAAGTAAATTGATGCTGCCTGGAGTGGGTGTGTCTCATTGTTGAGAAAAGTTTAAGCTCTTAAAACATTTAAATGTCATATTCTGCAAGTCTTTGGAAGGTTTGAAGAATACCTATCCATCTGAAATATATCTCTGTACATCTAGAAAACCTTACTAACATTACTATAAGCTTTACTATTATAGACAACTATCTAGTAACCTATATTTCTTAATTATACATTTTAAATGAGTTGCACAAACACAATACCTTAATTAAGAGCAGATATATATATATATATATAACAAAATTGACTGCAAATTTGTATCAATAAACCAAGATCCATAGCAATGCAAAGTATTCATCTCTATAGCATATTCCCGTTTAAATGTAAACAAATATTTATAAACAATCATTTAGGGAATTTGGGCATTGTTCTCTGGACTACTTCCTCCTGATTGGGGGTGTTATTAATCAGGTCTTCTATGGGGTATATTGTATTGTAGGTCCATCTCAACCAGCAGTCCTGAAGCTGGATGTTGAACCATTTGGGCCATTGCTTCAGGGGGTCTTGTTTGATCAAATCATATTAGTCAGTAAGGAATCCACAGTTTTCTATCCTTTGTGGAAACAAAAGCAGAACCTTTTTTTTTCCAAATCAACATATCCTTGGACCCAAATTTTGAAGTCAAGGTACCTTTAAAATATATATGTTGGGTTAGCTTAGCAGCCCATACAATGAAATATCTCAGTACTTAGCTCATTCACAGTCAAAACATTCAAAGAAAGCACAATAATATACATAATTCAGACTCTCTGTGTATTTTCCATTTTTATGTGGCTTATTTTTCTTTACTCTTTTAATCTATGACTATCTATACTCTGTCTCTTTGAAGACTTCATTTTATTTTTTAAAAATATTTATTTATAACTGTCTATACTCTTTCTTCTCTCCCTCAATCATATGTCCATTTTTAAGCACACTGTTATCTGTTTAGAGATTTTTTTCTGTCTTAATCTGTCTTTATTATGTATCTGTAACCATTTTCTCACCAGAAGCACTTGAAATGGTAAGCAGTGTGGTTGGGGCAGCCCTGGAAGCTGGTTCCACCTCTCTAGACCTAACATGGCAGAAATAGTTCATTATTAGCTCTGGGACCACAGGGAGGGAGTTGTGCTTACCGCCTCATCTCTGGGAAATAGTTGGCCCATGCTGCCACCAAGTAACTTGGAGCATACTGCCCACAAACTCCATTCAAGTGTTCAGCCTCCTGAAACAGCCAGAGCTATTCATGCAATTAGCACAAACCAGGAAGCCTTCTCAAAGGAACCGTGCAGTTTTTGCTGCTACTGTTGAGTCAGGAAGCCTTCTCCTAAAGGAACTGTGCTGCATCTCTGCTTACTTCTAGCAAACGGCAATTCTGGAAAAAAAAATAGTATGGCCACCAAGAGGTCATCCTTAACTCTATTCTTTTGTGTCTAGAATTCCTTCCCAAGTTCTCTCAGGATTTATGTGAATGTAGTTGACTCATGTTGGTGCACCATTTTGTAGACAGAGACTACTCATTCGTTTCCTGGTTTCTCAGACCTGAATAACAACACAGAAACTATATCAATTACAAAACTGTTTGACCAATAGCCTAAGCATATTTCTAGATAACTCTTACATCTTAAATTAACCAATTTCTATTAATTTGTGTATTGCCATGAGGTTGTGGCCTAGTAGTAAGGTGCTGGCTGGTGGCTGGTATCTTTTTCCTTCAGCAGCTACATGGCATCTCTCTGTCTCTGCCTACTTTCTCTCTATATTTCTGTTCAGATTTCCCACCTGGCTTTACTCTTCTAAGCCATTGGCTGAAACATCTTCTTTAATAACCAATGGTAATAAAACATATTCATAGCTTACAGAGGGGAATCCCACATTAGTAGAGCAGCTGTACGTGTGAATTAACAGGAGTAAAAACAACATGCACAAGACCTGCACAGGTTCAGGGAAGACAGAATATTAGCACTGAGATGGAAAATGGTATGAGGTCCCCCACATAGATACGAATCTATTAGTAAATATCTGGTAACTGCTAGAAGAAAGAGAGTCAGTTTTCTTTTAAGGATTTTCTGGTGGATTGACCACCCTCCAGTGAAAGCCACACATCCAAAAAATGTATGATCAGTACCAACGGAATATTTTTTAAAAGAGAACACAGTGTGGGCTGGATATGCAAAGGGAGCAGATCTGGGAGGAGCTGGGAGAGGAGGTGAAGTTCATTGTATGAAATTCTCACAAACTGATAAAAGATGAGGAAAAATTAATTACCTAATCCACTGAGCCTAATGGGCCTTTTCTACCATATATTTCAACCATGATCTATTATGGTACTACAGATCCATGAGCAACAGGGCCAGTGGATCATAGACTGACCATTCTAAAGCTCTCAAGTTAGTATGAACTTTCCCCCCACATAAATGGATTGCCTAATTATTTTTCTGGAACAAAATATTGAGACATCATAAATTGTTAAAAAGTTTTCTCATTTAGCTCTCTTATTGTACATGCAGAATATGTACAGTTCAGTCTTAAGTAGTATTCTGAAAATGCAGAAATCGTTACTTCAAAAGTCATAGAAATATTGCAATGTCAAATGTGAATGGATATTTCCTGTAAGTAATACTTCTGAGTTACAAAATTGTATATTTTAAATTAATTGGTTAGGGAATTTTGGCTTTCTTGTGTATGCTTGAAATACAGAGAAGTTACACCTTGTGAAAATGAGGTATAAAAATCCAGAGCCAATATGATCCTAAACAGAGAGAAATGAATTTAGTTCACAGAAATCATCAGGATGTCCTTTTTATCCACACTTATTAAGTATAGAACTCAAAGTCTTGGCAAGAGTAAAAAGGCATTTGCAGGAGATAAAAGGTATACAAATAGGGAAAGAGGAGGTTATAGTGTCTTTATTTGCAGATAATTGACTTTATATGAAAAGGCCCTAAAGACACCACCAAGAAACTTCTACAGCTGATATAATTTTAAGCAAAGTAATAGGATTAAAGTTTAACATATCCAAATTAGTAGCCTTCATGTATACAGATGACACTCTTCCTGAGAAGGAATTCAGAAAAACAGTACTTTTCACAATAGTCTAAAAGTTAAAATATCTCTAGATAATGCTAGCCAAGTAAGTGAAAGACTTTAATAACAAAAACTTCAAGATATTGAAGAAGATATCAGATGGAGAGGAATTTCATGCTCATGAATTAGTAGGACTAAGGCTGTGAAAACAGCCATCCTACCAAAAGCAATCTATAGATTCAGTTCTGTTCTGTATTGTGGGAGTAACTGACTATGTATTCACTCTTACCTGTGGTTTCTAGCAGCATATTTTTAGATATAAGTGCATAACTTGGAGTAACTGCAGAAACCATGATAGTAGATGGATACCATGGAGGGTAATAGAGATGGGATAACTGTGTACAGTGTTTTTGAACCATTAAATGGAAAACAATGTACAGGAACTTTAAGTAGAAATGCGGGCAATAAATATAAAAGAAGGAAAGATTAGGATACATCCCTCTTCTTCAAGGACTCACCACAGCTACCATAGCACTACAATCTTAAGTGTATGATA